GTACGTCGCGGTCAACGTCCTTCGAGTTATTGTAACGATATTGCTTATTTTACGCCTTGGCTATTAATTGATTTTCACAATACTTATTGTTGTTGCGGGGGCATCGGCCTCGCGACAATATCATATGTAGCCAATATGCAATTATTGTTTAAAAAATGCATGCAATTGCATCAAACTAATACGTTCATACTTTTTGTATTTCATAAGAAATCTATACGCTGTATATTTATATCTGAGAATAACTTTTCGAAAACAATAATAATCCCTATTTAATTTACAGGAACGAGTCCTATTATATGAACAATCGAATATATCCAAGATAGAAAGTGAACTCCTCATATTAAACTTTGCGATACGGCACAGTTTGATCGATGTTGCTCTTGAAGATCTCATCACTTTAATAAACTGTCATCTATCATACTCAGTATATCACATTAAGCACATATTTTTGAAGAAGTATGATACTCCAGCATCAATCCGTAAATGCTATTATTGTCCAGAGTGTTATGTAATACTGAAAACGCTTGCTGCTGATGATAGAACAGAAGAAAATTTTTTTTGTCCAGAGTGCCAATGTAGATGTAACAAACATACATTAAAAAAAAGCGCTAACTATTTCCTATATTTGCTTTTAGAGCAGCAGTTGCGCGACTTTGTAAATAGCAACAAATATACTATGCTTCAAAGAGAAAACAATAATTATTCTGATATAACTTGTGGAAAGTTTTATACATCTCTAAAAATTGCTAGGGTAATTCAATTACATAATATTACGCTGCAGATCAGTACTGATGACGTTCAAGTGTTTTGTTCATCGTCTGTATCTATGTGGCCTATACAGGTGATGGTGAATGAATTGCCGTATAGAGAAAGAAGAAAAAATATGATGTTATGCGGTTTGTGGTATAGTAAAGAAAAACCTGATATGAATTTGTTTTTATCTTTACTTGTCGAGGAATTGACCTCCATGCATGAAGTACGTATTACACGTAACGTGGCAGGCAAAGAAGAAATCCGTATCAGAGTACATACAATCGCGTCTCCTGTAGATTCTGTCGCGCGACCTTTGTTACAAAACATAAAACAGTATAACGGGAAATTTGGCTGCAGTTTTTGCTTGCATGAAGATATACACGTTGAAGTCGGTAGAGGAATGACAAGAGTATATCCCGGTTGTGTAAAGGAACCACGTACATTGCGCCAACATGAAGTAGATTGTGAAACTGCTGTGCAAACTGGAACTACACCTTACGGTGTGAAAGGGCCATCAGTTCTAATGCTGCTACCGGTCTTTGACGTTACGTCTTCATTTACACCTGACTATATGCATGACGTTTTATTAGAAGTATGTAAAACTTTACAGATGTTTGGTTTAATTCGTCAAATCACGAAAAAGACTGGTACATTGGAAATAAAGTAGATGTTATTGACGAGAAACTCCTGCAAATAAAACCACCATGTGAGATTACTTGTACGCCCAGATCTATCAGTGAAAGAAATATATGGAAGGCATCAGAATGGAAGCATTTCTTGCTCTACTACTCCCTTTTTTGTTTACAAAACATAATGCCTTACAATATGTATAACCTTACAATATGTGAAACACTGGTTCCTTTTTATATTTAGTATGCAATTAGTTTACAAGAAAAAATCAATGACGTAAATTTTTCGACCGCTGAATGTGCTTAAAATAGAAAACTTATATGGCTTAGAATATTACAAGTATAACGTACATTTATTGTTACATATTCCAGAGTTTGTTAAACAGTTTGGAGCTTTGTGGACTATATCTACTTTTCCTTATGAACACTATAATGGAGTACTAAGACAAATGTTTCGAAATTCGCAAACTGTTCCGGAACAGATATGTAAATTATATATGAGATCAAGGCGCGTGGAAGATTCTTGTCTAAAGGTATTTTCGAAACCCTATTGTTTCGAAGATGCAAAAATTTTATATGATAAAATGAGTGGAATGTATCATACGAAAAATTATCTGGAATACGAATCTTATTTAAAAATATTTGGAAAGCCGGTTCAAAAGGCGTTAATGTTAATGGAGCAGACTTGTATCGAAGCTCTTTTACATGACAATATTCTAAACGAGAGTGACTGCTACAAGCGTTTCATTTTTCGAAACGTGTTATGGCATGCCGACAACTACGAAAAACTTCAAAAGCGACAAAATAGTACAGCATTATTACAGAATGGTATGTTCATAGTAATATCCGGGATTTTTTGGTGTCCGTATTGTGCCAAACAATTATCTACGATATGTTATTATCAGGGCTGGGCAAAATACATTATTAAAGTATTTAAAATACAAAATACAAAATACTGGTAATCTTAGTATTTGAATTACAAAATATAAAATACTTTTAATCTTTTGATTTGAAATACAAAATACAAAATACTTTCAATCTTTTAATTTGAAATACAAAATACAAAATACGTTCAATCTTTCGATTTGAAATACAAAATACAAAATACTTTCAATCTTTCAATTTGAAATAGAAACTACTTTGTTATTTAATCTTTCAATTACAATAATATATAATGTTAAACTCCCCGCTCCAACAGTCTCCTCTCAACCTTTAGAGAGAGAAAGAAAAGTTGTTTTATTCTCTTATACTATTTAACAATCCTATTGTCCTGTATCAACCGCATGAAAGATCTATTTACCAATGTAAGATTATGAAATTTGACTCTGCAGATTACTTGATATTGCTTGAAACTTGACAAAAATAATTTGTGTCGCTAATTGTCATATGAGAAAATTTAAGTTGCTATTAATAATTGTCAAAAATTTTTATCAATAATTTCTTTAGTATTTCAAATACAAAATAGATTGAAATTGTATTTGAAATACAAAATACATTGAATAACTCTTTTAAAATACAAAATACAAAATTCAAATTGTATTTCAAATACTGTATTTCAAATACAAGTATTTGAAATATACCCAGCGCTGGTTATTATTGGAAAGATTCTTAATCGCGTTGATATGGAAATTTGTAAAACAAGCAATCCAACACTTTCATCGAATCGTCTTTTTCACATTACTCGCATGACTGATTCTGTCGTCGCTGTCTTTCCTGACATGTTACATACCAAATGTGTACAGATTCCACGATAATGTCGATAAATATTGCATTATATAAAATTTTTTCGCTCTCGGGTGATAGAAATTTTGCGATCTGTGAAAAAATTTTTAACAGTTCCGGCAGTTCTGTCGACAGTTCTGAGTAGCACCCCAAGAGTTCTAACAAAAGTTCTTATCACTCAAAGCCGTGAAATGAATATCAAAAAAGATATCGCGATTCTTCGTTTCACGGATCGAAAAATTTCTAACACCCGAGGGCGAAAAAATTTTTAACAGTTCCGGCAGTTTTGTCGACAGTTCTAAGTAGCACCCTAAGAGTTCTAACAAAAGTTCTTATCACTCGAAGCCGTGAAATTAATATTAAAAAAGATATCGCGATTTTTCGTTTTCTGAATCAAAATTTTTTAATCTCTTATAAACAAACCAATTTTTTTAACATTATCTCTAGAGTTCTGAATAGCGCTACAAGAATTCTATTAAAAAGTATTAGATCTTTTTTCGCTTTGACTTTAAATAAAAAAGTTATGACTAATTTTCGTTTCGTGAAAACATGAAGTTGGCACCCCATATCTTTAAATCCTTTTTTTTTGCATTTAGTCGTCAGAACTCTTTGTGTAATTTATCAGGAACTCTGGAACTCTTTGGGGAAGAACCGAAACTCTAATTATTTTTTCGAAATTTCGACAATGGGGTGCCAACTTCACAGAGGAAGTTAAGTAAACTTTTGCGCAACGTATGCTATTCAAAACATTATATCTCTTAAGAAGAATGAATTCAAATTTTAACAGCAAAGAAATAGAAAAAAAATAGAAAAGAAATATAAGAAAAGGGTTAATATCTTTAAAAAAAATTTATTGCTATTTGTTAAATACACTATTGAAATTTTAAAGTCAATTTAGTAAAAAATATTTAAAAAATGACTGATTAAAAAAAATTAAAATCAAATAAAAGTATAAAAGTATAAAAACTTAATATATTCAAATCACATTTTAACATATGTATGTATTTTTGCATATTTGTAAATTATTTTAATACTTCTTCCAATAATTGTTGGCAAATCGCAAGTTTAAAAATTTTATAAATAATATAAAAATAAACACAATTTATTCGTAAGTGACCTTAATAGACCAGTAAATAAATGATTAAATATCATAAAAATATTGCCCGTCTGTTCCTCTTTTATAAATTCAATTTTCAATGTAATTTAATTTAATAACTTTTTTTATTAAACTATAATTTAGATGTTATGAAGTATAACTTATTATATTAGACAATGTATCTCGATACATTATATTTTTATATTTAATTTTTATTTTAAGTCTGAAACATTTAGAATTTGTTTGAAATAATAAATTTTCTTTTAAACAAAATATGTAATGTAGAATAGATGTTTTTACAAAGTAAAAAAATCATAAATCTTAGCCTCTATTATAATTTGATACAGCACATATAACTAAATACTTGGTTTTAATTGTAGTAAAGCTTATATCTGTTTTTGAGCAATAATATTACAATTTTCAAATATAAATATATTTGAAATGTTTCATAATTTTTTTAATTTTTACTTATTGTATAGAAGTAATGTGTTATATATTTTCTATACACTTGCTGTATGTTTCTAATTTAACTAAATGTTAATTACCATAGGCACATAGTTTGAACAATTCATGAAAGAAGGCCATCATACTCTCGGCTCCTTCTCCTCCGTATCTCTTTAGACTGACAAATTTTATGGCCAGAAAGTTGTCAAAAGCTTGACTCTTGAGCATTTCTGTAGCTATCGTTTTGCGTGTTTCATTGGTCAATGGTTCGACTAAAATTTTTTCCAAGGTTTCGGCAAACCATTCTCTTTCTTCTTCCGTCTACTCGAAATCAAAAGCTCCTTATTAACATTTTAATCATAATTTATCGCCAAAATAGTATGGCAGAAAATAAAAGCTATTTTTCAAAATGTCATGTTCCAAATGTGTTTCAACATAATTATAATTTTTAAAAAACAAGCTCTCGGATTTTTACACATGCTAGTGGAATTTGATAATTAATTACATTAACGGACACCGCGTCGATGACCTTAATCTTGATGTATATTGTAGAAGTAAGGGTACTGATAACTTTTTCTTATAACTTAACCGACAGTCTCGTATAGTTTTCGAGATATAATTACTTATAAAAACTCATTTTTTAAATTTTATTATTTTAGACACCTTGTATATGAACCCATGTAAATCAGTACAATTATAGACCTCTACGCCCCTTAAACACAGGAGGGTTAACTGCGTATTACATGAAAAATCAAAAATCCATGTGGATCAGTACAACTACTTATAAACCACGTTACACCCCGTAAACACAGGTGTAGTGCGTAAGAACGTAAATAAATGCGGACTCGTTTAATTTATGATAAATCTCTTTATTCAGCGAGCCTCTTTTTCATGTAATTATTTACCTTTTAAAAAAAAATAAAAAAAGGTGTCAAGTATAGGCATACTTTTTAAACAAAAAATTATACCAAATTAAAAAATAAAACCCAAG